CAGGTACCTTGTAAATTTATTGTCAGAATTGAATGAGATACTCCATTTGGGTGCTGATTCCTGGTAAAATGCTCCATAAATAACTTATTACCATCTCATAGAACTCATCTAAGAAAATAAAGCAATATGGGAGGGATAGCAGACTGAAAGGTCATTTTGACATAATTTACCCACATTACTGGAATCTCAAAGTCAGAACTTCAGAGAGACCATTAAACTCTTTTTCTTATTTCACTTCCACCATATGGGCCTGGCCTGTTTAAGGCTGTTCCTGTGTATTTCTACCAAGCTGTGCCACTCTGTTTTCCTCTCCTTTTCCAGCAGCAGGGCTCTTGTCTATAGTTGGGGAGCTAATAGCTAGATGTGGGCATTTCCTATTTCTGACCTGCCTTCGATCAGCTACAGGATGCTACTTGTTAAAGTAAAAAGCCCTGGGGCACCTGGGTGGCTCAGTCCTTAAGCGGCTGTCTTCAGCCCGGGTCATGATCCAGGGTCCTGGGATTGAGCCCCACATCAGGCTCCCTGCTTAGTGGGAAGCCTGCTTCTCCCTCTCCCCCTGCTTGTGTTCCCTCTCTCGCTATGTCTCTCTCTGTCAAATAAATAAAATCTTCAAAAAAAAAAAAAAAAAAAAAAAGCTCTTTATTGGGACGCCTAGGTGGCTCAGTGGGTTAGTGTCTGTGTTTGGCTCAGGTCATGATCTCAGGGTCCTGGGATCAAGCCCCACATCGGGCTCCCTGCTCAGTGGGGAGTCTGCTTCTCCATCTGCCTGCCGCTCCCCCTACTTGTGCTCTCTGACAAATAAATATTAAAAACTTCAAAAAAAAAAAGGAGCCCTATTACTGAGTACTATCAAGGAGCACCATATCTTCAACAGCCCTTGTATGCATCTAAACATTTCAATCTATGATCCTGCCATTTCCTATAACAATACTCTATGTCTACCAGCTCCATCCTAGGGTCATCTATATCTCACTTTGTCACCATTCTTTGGTCAAATGGGTGTCCCCAAACTTTAGTTCTTTCTTCTTCTTGCCCTCTTTACCTTCCAAGTCATTCAGGGAATACTACGTATGTTAAGCTATGCCTTGGAGATCCGAAAATGAATAGACACAGCCCTCAAGCTGTTCAAAGCTTAAGAGGGGAGACAGCTATAACAAAATAGAGAGGCAGTCTAGGTATGTGGTGTTTTTAGGGAGAAGAACACTGTGGGTGAGACAAAAAAAAGTGGTGTCACTGCAAGAGATCTATTATTATTATTATTATTATTATTATTTGAGAGGGAGAGAGAGAAGGGGTGGGAGGGACAGAGGGAGAGGGAGAGAGAGAATCTTAAGCAGGCTCCACATCCAGTGTGGAGCCCAACACGGGGCTCGCTCTCATAACCCCGAGATCAAGAGTTGGATGCTTAAGTGACTGAGCCATCCAGGCACCCCTGCGAGAGATCAAAATAGCCAAAACAATCTTGAAAAAGAACAAGGAGGATTCATATTTCCTGATTTTAAAGCTTGCCACAAAGCTACAATAATCAAAACAGTGTGGTACTGGCATAAGGACAGACACAGAGATCAATGGAATAAACGGAAAGTCCAGAAATAAACCTGTGTATCTATTGTCAACTGATTTTTGACAAGAGTGTTAAGACCATCCAATGGGTAAAGAATAGTCTTTTCAACAAACAGTACTGCGATGGCTGTAAATCTACATGCAATGGAATGAAGTTGAATCCTTACTTCACACCATATACAAAAATTAATTCAAAATGGATTGAAGGCCCAAATGTAAGAGCTAAAACTATAAACAGCCTACAAGAAAATACAGGTATAAGTCTTTGTAATTCTGGATTAGGCAATGGTGTCTTATATAGGACACCGAAAGTATAGCACCAAAAGATAAAATACAAAGATTGGACTTCAACAAAACTAAAAACTTCAGTGTTTCAAAGGACATAATCAAGAAAGTGAAAAGATAACCCACAGAAACGGAGAACATAACGGAGCAAATCATATATCTGGTAAGGGGTCTAGTATTCAGACCATAAAGGAACTTTTACAACTCAACAAAGGGACAACCCAATTTAAAAATGGGCAAAGTGGATGCCTGGGTGGCTCAGTTGGTTAAGCCTCTGCTTTCACCTCAGGTCATGTTTCCAGGGTCCTGGGATCAAGTCCCGCATTGGGCTCCTTGCTCTGTGGGGAGTCTGCTTCTCCCTCTCCCTCTGTTGCTTGTGCTCTCTCTGTCAAATAAATAAATAAAATTTTTTTAAAAATGCCACTTCCTCAGGGGCGCCTGGGTGGCTCAGTGGGTTAAGCCACTGCCTTCGGCTCAGGTCATGATCTCAGAGTCCTGGGATCGAGCCCCGCACCGGGCTCTCTGCTCTCTAGGGGAGCCTGCTTCCTCCTCTCTCTCTGCCTGCCTCTCTGCCTGCTTGTGATCTCTCTGTCAAATAAATAAATAAAATCTAAAAAAAAAAAAATAAAAAAAAATAAAAAAAATAAAAATGCCACTTCCTCAAGAAGACCTTCTTCGCTTCCCTACTTGATACGAACAGAGAGATGAACTCTCGCCTCTTTTAAAAGAGGGCACATTTTGGGGCTCCTGGGTGGCTCAGTGGGTTGAGGCCTCTGCCTTCGGCTCGGGTCGTGGTCTCAGGGTCCTGGGATCAAGCCCCGCATTGGGCTCTCTGCTCCGCAGGGAGCCTGCTTCCTCCCCTCTCTCTGCCTGCCTCTATGCCTACTTGTGATATCTCTCTCTCTCTCTGTCAAATAAATGAAATCTTAAAAAAAAAAAATAAATAAAAATAAATAAATAAATAAATAAAAGAGGGCACATTTTGTACTTTTCTTACAGTAGTGATTTTCCCATACCTTATACTGCTGTTATTTGAGCAGTCCTCTCACCTCACACATCTCTTACCCCACACTTTCCGAAATCTAAGCACCTTGGGGTGAGGTCCATGTCTTTCCCAGCTTTGCAGTTCCCAGCACTGTGCTGGGTAGAGTCCGAACTGAACTGCCCAACTAGCGGCAAAAATGACGGAATTGGGAGACAAAAATAAGCATTATCGCAACACAAGTTTTAAGAAGTCCTAAAGAAACCACACAAAACAGGACACAGGCACAAATAACTGAGTGTGTGTTGAATCAATCTGTGACCACTTGGCTTGTTTATATCTGGTCATTTTCATCACATGGATCTCATTTCACTAGAACTCCAGAAGACTCAGACAAAGAGTAATGGTCTCCCAGCTGCTGCGTTCCCTAGTCTGTGGTTTTCCTATGATATAAACAAAAGATTCTGGAGGTATGGTCTCTGTTAATATTTGCTGGTGTGGGTCTGGGGGAGAAATGGGTGGGGGGGGGTAGTGCGAGGGAAATCCACTAATGAACTGACAGTTCATATAAGCAGCACCTGGAGTGTTAAACTCCCCTACAACTGTTATTTTACTGGGAAAAAAAAATCCACTCTTCCTTTGGTAAATGTAAAATTCTTTTACCAGCTGCATTCTGATCTAAAGTGTGTGGCAGTCCAGGAGAGATGGCAGCTGGAACAGATCCCATGCGGCCACAGTGAATGCCCACCGGCAGCTAGGGCATAATCAGAGACCAAAGAATGAATCTTCAGAGCCACGTTCCTTTAAGAAAATGGGTTAGCCTCAATTTGCCTGCTCATGTGCTACTCATAAACACTGAGAATCCTGGAAATACACATCCACATCTGATTGGTGGAAGGATCAATCTTTTGAATCGAAACTCTGTGACATCAGCAATTCAGGACTCCCCACTTAGCTTCGTAAAACCCTGCAGCTTAAGCTTTGGTTTTCATCCTATTTTTGTTAAATATTTACAATCTACTACAAAACTAAATTCAGACCAAATGTGTGCTTACACAACCTGTGACACGGCCACCCCTCCTGATCGGAGGGAAAGAGCAGCAACACGGATTGGCACCAGGCCAGTCATTTTCTTCATGCCCCGTCCTTGCAACACTGGGGGGCAGAGAGCTGCATTTCACGCACTGATGGGTTCACCCAGGCCCACAGAGGTTAAGTTGTTTGCTCAATACCCCCAGAGGAAGAATGAGGAGAGTTTGGTCCATCTGACTCCAAAACCAGTGTTTTTTCCACTGTACTCTGCTACTGTCCAGTGGGTTCCAGAGAAGTTCTTTCTCCAGAAGACTGCTACAAGAGTCTGATACCTCGAGAACAGGCACTGGCAAACTTTTTCTGTAAAGGGCCAGGCAGTCAGTATTTTAGGCTTTTTGAGCCATATGGTCTCATGACTGACTTACCCATTAAGTGTTTCTGCCATTGTAACACAAAAGCACCCACAGATAATAGATAAATGAATGAGTATGGCTGTGTTCCAATAAAAAACTTATTTAGTTTGCTGACCCCTGTTCTAGAAATTCTAGCGTAGACAGCTTCATGTTATTTGGATTAAAGAATCAAGAAAGAACTGCCCATTTCCAACTTAATTAATCAATGAACAAGAGAGTCTTCCATAGGCTGTATGGTCAATGCAATTCAGGAATTTGGGTCCTTTTAGGAAGAAAAGGGCGCATCAAAGCCGAACAGTAACATAAGGCAGCATGTGCTCCAGGAAGGGACGGAGCCCGACCGATTCGCCACCATGACAGCAGGAAACCAAGGTCCACAATCTGATCAAATATTATTGTGCTGATACTGGAGCTCAGAAAGAGTAAGAAGTTACTGCTGTAAGCACTAACAAAAACGCCCATTCTGGTGAGACCCCTTTAAGGTTTTTCACATGTGTCAGATGCTCAACAAAGACCTACCAAACATACCTACTCCCTGTCTTATTCTCAGAGGACAAGCAATTGGCCTAACGCACAAGGTAAACTCATCTCCTAGAGGCCTTCTGGTCTTCTCCCAGCTGACACTTGAAGCAGTGAAGAACCCGAAGAAGCCACCGGCCAGGGACGATAGCAAGCACCTGTGGTCACTCTTGGAGGTCTAAGAAGAAGCGCTTCCCCAACCTCACCTTGCTCATGGCAGTCAGGGCAGGATCGCAGGCAGCATCCAGATCTTGGACCAACAACTGGATGCTGCTAGAGATGACACTGCAAATCAAACAAATTACAGTGGTCATCACTTTACTTAATAATTTTTTTAAATTTTATTTATTTATTTAACACAGTAAGAGAGACCGTGAGAGAGGGAACACAAGCAGGGGGAGTGGGAGAGGGAGAAGCAGGCTTCCCGCTGAGCAGGGAGCCCGACAGCAGGGCTCGATCCCAGAACCTTGTGATCATGACCTGCGCTGAAGGCAGATGCTTAATGCCTGAGCCACCCAGATGCCCCAGAGGTCATCACTTTAAAGAAAAAACTTTTTGAATGACTAACACAGCCCCTGCCAAATCTTTTAGGCACCCATATCAAAATCAGTTTCATCATTTCATCAGAAAAACTCAAGTTTGCTTCCAAAAAGGAATGGATGACAACGAGGAACGTCTTGGCTCTTCATTCTTGCTTGCATGTCCTGGTCTTATTTGGGTGTGTCCCCACTGAGTCAGGTCGAAAAATTTCACGGCTAGTCTCCCTAATCACTCCACTCAGAATCCCTCCTTCACTTCTTTCTCTAAAAGCACCTGTTCGTTCAAAATGTTTAAATGAGAACTTGGGGGGAAAAAAAAAGCTGGGAAAAGGAGAGGAAATGACCTAAGAAGAGAATCTTGATTTTTCCTTAGTAATGGCCTACCTTAATCTCATTTACTGACCACAAAAAAATACTGCAAGGCAACACTAGTGAAAGAACTATTTTGAGAAGGCTTTATAGTTCGAACTTCTTGGACACCCTCTACCCCAACCATCCCCCTCCCCCCACCTGGCTAAAATCAAGCTGCTCACACTTTGTGTTCTAAGACACTGAAGGTGGAGCTGGCCCTCTGTAGATTTGGGGTGGCGTTGGGGGCAGAGAGAAGGCCTTGGACTTGACCTTCCTGCAGGGATGGTCAAGGGAGGATTTCTTCTCTTTCGTTATTCTAGATAGGGCAACAATAAAGACCCTGTAAGCTAAAAATGACTGCATCTGAGAAGGGCAAATGGGAGGCAGCTGCACTAGCTTCTGATGCTTCTTCTTACTGACTGCTGGAGAATAATCCTCATTCAACAGGGAACCCTGGAAACCTCTTAGGTTCTGTGGTGGCCTAAAGCCGACAGCCCAAGACATGTTGCTTTGTGGTGGGTAAAGGGCAGGCCTTAAGCAATTATGTGCAAGGTACGTACGTGCTGAACGTATCCATTTCTCCAGTCAGATTGATTCGTTCAATCAGACTTACATCAACTTTTTCCTTGAGTTTTTCTTCTAGCTATTAAAAATGAGAGAAAAACATGCTTAACAATGATCCAAAGGAGTATCATCATAAGAGCACGTAATATTTACCAAGTTTGATGATTCAGGTACAATTCTGGGCACTTTTCATGTCCTAACTCACTTCATTCTCACAACCCCATGAGGTAGATTCTACTATTATCTTCATTTTACAGAAGAGAAAATGGAGGTGTGACAGCAGGGCCAGGAGTCAAACTTCCTCCAGAACCTTTGCCCTTTAGCCCTGGGCTGTCCTTGTCTCTTATGACACACTGACAATTCATTTCATTAATTTTAAAAAGATCCCAGTTTTCAGGATCCTCCCTGCTCCATGAACTAAATGCAGGCTCGCTCACCAGTACTGGAAGCCTCTTGCGGTGAGCGGCAGTAAAACCAGTTCAAGTATTCACTGAGTGCTACGACGGGCCACCCACTATGTTAAGGTGTTGGGGATACCGAGGTAAACAAAAGAAACACAGTCTGCCTTCGTCAGCCTACAGCCAAACAGAGAAACACTGGCCACGCTCCCAGCCGCCTCAAAGAAAAAGACAACTGACCAAGAATTGTAAACATCTCAAAGCATCCCGGGAACTGACTCACCCAACAATCTCAAAGCCATTGATTATACAAACTCAAGAATAATGAGTATTTTGTCTTAAATTTAAAAATGCTCTTAGGGGTGTGTAAATTCATGTAACCTTTCAGAAGGTAATTTGTTTAAAAAGCAGAAATGTAAATACACACACTCTTTAAAACAGCAATTTCACATCTAGAAATAGACTTCGACGAGAATGAGTATGATATACAAAGATCCCCGAGTACTCTTTGCAGCATTCATGAATTCAACCACAATTTTCAGAAAGCCTGTTTTGTGCCCAGCTCTGCAACAAGAGTATATATGAGTTACTAAGTGAACAAAACAGAGAAGATACTCTTTCCATGAAGCTTCCATTCTGATCTTATTTATGTTAGTGACAACTGGAAACAATCCACATGCTTGTAAGGGACCGATGAAGCAAATTACAGTAAAGGCTTTCAAGGCTTCAACTCTTCAGTGGCCTTTTCCTGTTAAACTGAAAATAAAATCCAAACTTTCTAACTATGATTTGGGTTCTGTCAGGCTCTCTGGCTCACATCTTCTTCCCCCCTTGCCTGTTTGGCTTCACTTTGTGCTGTAACTTAAGGTCCTGGAACATACCAAGTTCACACACACCTCCTCAGGACCTTCATACTTCACACTTCCTACTTTGTCTTCCTGAAACGCTCCTTACTCACCCTTCCTAACCGGCTTCCTTGCTTTGCCACTCCCCACCTCCCAACCCTTCCACACTCCTCACCTGGGAGTCCCTTCGCCCACCCTCGGTCTCTGCTTCAATATTACCTCTCCTCAGAGACGCCCTCCTTGACCAGCTACTTCAGTAGACAACTCCCTACCTAGCACTCACCACAAAATTGAAGTTACATCTTGGCTACTTATTACTGTCTTGGCTCCTCCTTTATTCTAAATTCCCTGACAGTAAAAAACTATCTACTTTGTTCACTACTGTTAATTAACGCCAAATACAGTGCCTGGTCCTTACCACAGTAAGTGCTTCCTGAAGAGCTCTTGGATGAAGGAACGCAACAACAGGTGTAAAAGTGTTACACAATTAATGAGCCGATATCGATAATTGGTATTGTTTAAGTTTTTATTTTCCAATTCTTGTCTCTGGTTTCTCCTTCCATTTCTTTTTGCCCTCTTCCTGCAATTTTTTTCCTAAGGAAACTGGATTGTTTGCTCTCTAGAATTTCCCATAGGTTGGGTTTTGTTGATTGTATCCATGAGGTATTAATTAACATGTTCCTCTGTTCCTTGTATTTTCTGTAAATTGTAATTTGATGTAGAAGCCTGATCAGATTCAGGTTCTTCTCTCACTCTCTCTTTTTAAAAAACCTATTTCATGATGGTGTTGTGCGCTTTTTTTTTTTTTTTTTTTTAAAGACTTTACTTATTTATTTCTTATGGAGAGAGAATGAGAGAGCACAAGCTGGGGAAGTGGAAAGCAGAGGGAGAAGCCAGTTCCCTGCTGAGCAAGGAGCCCAATGAGGGACTCGATCCCAGGACTGTGATCAGGACTTGAGCCAAAGGCTGAGAGGCTCACCTGACTAAGCCACCCAGGCATCCTGGTGTTGTGTACTTTTATCAGGAGATACATGATGCTTGTCTCTTTTTTGTAATGTCAGCAGCCATTGATGGTCAATGCCAGATCCCTTATTTCATTAGGAGATATAAAAGAATGATATTCTAATTCTTTTCTTCTTCATTTATTAGCTAAAATTCTGCTATAAAGAGGTATTTCCTGGGGCCCTGGGTGGCTCAGTTGGCTAAGCGTCTGCTTGTCCTCCCTCTGCCCTGCTTGTGCTCTGTTTCACTTAAATAAATAAAATCTTAAAAAAGAGAGAGAGAGATATTTCCCATTGTCAATGATTTCCTTAATCTGAGGTATAAGTTCAATAGGAAAGAAAGGTTAAGAACTTTCCCTTTATTTACCAGTATTTAATTCATACCAGTGGTTTCTTAGGCTCTTCGAAGATAGCAAGTGCACTAAGAAAAGAGAAATCATCAAACCACATGGATATAAACATATCTGATGTTTGTGGTGCGTTGCAGTTAACTTCTCATTGATGTTTATACAGCTCACCTCTGACCAGCAGAGCTTATTCCTTGGCTCCTGTGTTAGGTTCTTAGACTGCTCTCACAAATCACTACAAAACGTGGTGGCTCAAAACAGAAGTTTATTCTCTCATAGTTCCAGAAGCCAGAAGCCCAAAATAAGGTGTTGGCAGGGTTGGTTCCTTCTGGAAGTTCTGAGGGAGAAACTAATCCACACCTCTCTTCTATCTTCCGGTTGCTGGCAATCCTTGGTGTTCCTTGGCTTATAGGCACATCACTCCAATCTCCATCTCTATCTTCATGTGGCCTTCTTCCCTGTGTCGGTTAGATCTCCCTTTCCTAAGGATGCCAGTCATTGGATTTTAGTCCTTGGATTGCATTAGGGTTCACCCTAAATGCAAGATAATCTCTTGTTGAGATCCTAACTTGATTACAGCTTCAAAGACCCTATTTCTGAATAGGGTCACATTTACAGGTACTGGGAGTTAAGACTTGGACACATCCACACATCCTTTGGTACAAGAAGCCCATTATGGCTCCTGAATCCCTCTGAAATGACCGTCACCATCTTTGATATTTTTCTTGCTTTTTGCATGACATGATGCTCCACGCTCACCTTGTACATTTCCTCTCCCAGACCCGCAATTACTCAATTCTCTAGGAATCTCTGGTTTCTTTTAGGGGACAATGGTATTTAGAGATCACAATATAGGTGCTAAGAATGACTTTTTTTTTTATTTTTTTTTAAGATTTTATTTACTTGACAGAGAGAGAGAGAGATCATACATAGGCAGAGAGGCAAGCAGAGAAAGAGGGGGAAACAGGCTCCCCGCTGAGCAGAGAGCCTGATTCGGGGCTTGATCCCAGGACCCTGAGATCATGACATGAGCTGAAGGCAGAGGCTTAACCCACTGAGCCACCCAGGTGCCCCTAAGAATGACTTTTATGATCAGTAAAAATAATCTTCACTAGGGACACCTGGGTGGTTCAGTCAGTTAAGCATCTGTCTTTGGCTCAGGTCATGATCCCAGATCCTGGGATTGAGTCCCAAATTGGCTCCTTGCTCATCGGGGAGCCTGCTTCTCCCTCTGCCTCCTGCTCCCCCTGCTTGTGTGCACGCTCGCTCTCTCTGACAAATAAATAAAATCTTAGAAAAAAAACTTCACTAAATAACAAAAAAATTGGCTACATCTATCATGAGTCATCAAAATGATCTTTGATCTACTAGTACTTCTAGAACTTTTAAGAATCTGTTGTAGAAAAATAACGTAAAACATATTAGATGTTCTTTGTAGGAGTACTTTAGAAGCAAAATCCTGAAACAGCATAAACAATTATGAGGGATACTGTGAAATAATTAATGGTATTATCCCTTAATGAAATATTATGTAACAATTAATAATGCTGCTAATAAAGACATTATAGAAACAGGAGAAATGCTAGTGCTGTGATGTTAATAAAAACAACAAAGGGATATGAGACTGAACTAAGTTAAGATAATAGCATACTGGGGCGCCTGGGTGGCTCAGTGGGTTAAAGCCTCTGCCTTCGGCTCAGGTCATGATCCCAGGGTCCTGGGATCGAGCCCCGCATCGGGCTCTCTGCTTACCAGGGAGCCTGCTTCCTCCTCTCTCTCTCTCTGCCTGCCTCTCTGTCTACTTGTGATCTCTGTCTGCCAAAAAAATAAATAAAATCTTAAAAAAAAAAATATAATAGCATACAAAACTATGTTCATGAAAAAGGACTGAAAGAAGTACTCCAAATTGCTAACACGATTATGTGATGGTGATGGGATTAAGAGTCATAATTTTTATGTTTTTTCCCCCTTTTGGTTCCATGGTCATTTTACTTTTTAATTTTTTAAATTATTTATTTATTTATTTACTTAATTGACTTCTATTTTTAAAATACTCTAGTGTGTGTGTGTGTATGCACGCGCACACGCACACGCGTGTGCATCTTCCTTTTCTGCACACATCCAAAACAGTTAAATAGATAGATAGCGTTTCTTCAACACCAAACTCTGAGACCTCTGTCTTGGAGGTCCTCACAGACACTGCTGTCCTGCCCTGGGAGTTCTTGGGGCTAAAGGGAGTACTGTCTCTGACTCCAAGGCCAAACCTTGCCAGATCATTCCCTGTGTGATTCAGTGTGACCACATCCCCACAGAGAGCAAGCTACTGCCTCTGGCTGGCTTAACCTCAACTGTGAAGCTTTGGGGGGAACACTTCTTATTTTGGCCTCCTGTATTCGTGCCCTGGCTCACAGGCACTCCGAGCTGTACTGTCTGAACCATCACTTATGACTACCTTCCTGTGATCCAGACATGTGTAAATAATAAACCCGAAGAGGGGGCAAGAGCACAACCTTGTCTAGTTCTTTTCCTTCTCTTGGCCTTAGGTGAATTCCAGCCTGAATGTGAAAAGGAACTTCTAATCCCACGTTGGAGGCTAAGTGAAAAATTCTTCTGGGTCTTCCTTCTGCTAATGGGGGAGCTCCAGGAGCAGCATCACCCTTTCCTGCTTCACAGTTCCTGAACGTCAGCATCCAAACAATGGTTGTTGGTTTAGGCAGACTGGGAATGCTGTGTACATTTCAGGAGACGCATAAAAGCCCAAAGGATTTTGCTTAGCCTCGTAATACTTCTGAGAACGGAGTCACTGTCTGTGACTCATCGCCACCAGTGGCCAGGTCCTAGCATCGTTAAGTCTGTCACTGCTTTTCTCATAGGGGAGACAGTGCGACTGACCTACTTTCAAAAGGGCATGTCCTCTGAGCAGCTGAAACTAGCCTGGGGAGGAGATCGGTCAGACTTTCTTCCCTGGTCTCCTTTTAACAAGGCTCTGCTGTAAGATGGCTGCCTGGACCGTCTGCTGGCTGCTGCAGTTTTCCTCTATGACCAACCAATCTGCCCAAGGCTGTACGTGGCTTGTGAGGGCCCACACTTTTACCTACTGAGTCAGGAGGCCCAGATGGTTCTGGAAAAGGCAGTGGCGGGCAGCTCACCTGCTGGGTGGTGGCCAGACAGTATTCGGCTGTGCTCAGGATACTGCAGATGAGGCAGAGCTCCTCGAGCGTGAACTTGGCTACTTCCGAGCCTTCCTTCTCCTTGAGGAGGCTGCTGATGGTCAGCCCTCCACTGCTGCTTGTGGTTCTGAGGAAGGGGAACAGGAAGTGGTTAGGAGGGGGCTTCTCATTAGCTTCCTGAACTGGTAACTGCCCATCTTAAGACAAAGAAAAGGGGGAAGGAAAGGCTGGACGTGGCCCAACAAACCCACATACAATGAGCCTTTTCCTACTGACCTTACCTTGACTATCATCTGTTTAAGTTCTCTGACCATCAGGAGCAGGAAGAAACAATTCCAACAGTGAGCCAGTGACCAGTCATAGTAACTATGAGGACCTGGATACTTGCAGAGAAGGCTGCTGAGTGGCCTCTGTTTAGCCTGCCATCTCCTGATCTGGAGAGCTCATTCAGGATCATCTGTAGCATAAAGCTTGTTCCACCACTGTTTCAGGTAAGAAAATCCTGCACAGGAGTTTGTACATCGTGCTTGTGGTGGGGTACCAAGGTGAATGCTAATACATGGTTCCTGCCCAAAGCCCCAACTGCCTCCTCCCTGCCTACTGATCTAATCACGTGTTCACAAAACGTAGGAAGAGTTATAAAACCTCCTGCTCTTTCAACTGTGAGAGTCTAAGTTCTTTTTAAAGCAGACAGAATTCAGTGACATTTACCTTAAAAACATCAAAAAAATAACCTTAAAACTGCCCGGTCTTCCTAGTAGTCACAGATTAGAAAATATCTTCATTTCCAGCACTGACAAGGGTGTGAGGGTGCGGACACTCTCTTGCACTATGGGTCAGGGGCATGAAGCTGTCCAAACTTCCTGGAGGTGTATTTCACGAGCTTAAAAGACACATTCACATATATGACCCAGTAGTTCTACTCCTGTTCAAGGATGCTTTCCTGAGTGTTATTTAAAATACTAAAGTAGTAAACCCAACCTAATGATCAAGTAAGAGAATGGTCAGTAAGAACGTCAGAAGCTCAGTGAGGTTCTCCTGCATACTGGATTAGCATGACATCATGAAAAGTGCTGAATGTTCTCTGCTGGCCTCCCAGATCCATTCGTTACTCTTCCCTTCCCTTCTCTGTGGCTCAGGAAACTGACCTCTACAGACTTATCACTCCGGGTCCCTGGTCCTCTGGCCTCCTGTTGGGTTCAGTCAAGTCACCAGGAGATGCGACAAGAAGGTGGACAGGTAGGGGAGAGAGAAGTCTGAATCCTAACAAGGCCTCCGACTCCCTGTGCTTCTGTGTGGGGCTGGCAGGGACTGTGGCTCTCCATTTTCTGTGTGGCAACCACTTGTCCACAGCCCCAGCTCTCAAGGGAGTTTTAAAGTAGTAACAATCACCGCCTAGTATCTGGATGCTTCAGAATCCTCTGTTGGCTCCTTTCACTTTGCCCCCATTTCTGTGAATAGTTGCTTTGGTAACAATACCCTAGCTGAGTGCATCATTTGTTTCCTGCTGTGACACATGGGGAAAATGCCGGGGCAGGACGATGCTGAGTGAAAGCAGCAGGGTATAAAACTCCAAGCAGTATAGTCCCAATACCCTTAAATAAACAAAACCACAAAATCAAACACATTATATTTATAAATAAAAAACCAGAAAAACATATACCAAAAGGTTAAATTTGTTTTCTCTGGGTGGTGAGATTATAGTTAACTTTACTTCTATCTTTCTGCTTTTCTGTGTTTTCTGAACTATAATATTTTGATGATCAGAATAAAAGTTATTAAAGAATCTTAAAAATGTTTTTATCTTAGTCAAAGAAATTTTCATTGGTGAAATATATCTGTTACTTCAAATCTCTGGTTAGAGTATAGGGCTTTTATTTTCTTTCCTCCAAATAATGTAAAACTCCCATATATGACACATTTTAGTGAAAATAACAGTAACTACCTTCAGAATTACTGAATTTAGCCATGGGGATGATTAAAAACACTAAATTCCAAAGCATTACTTTAGATCATAATCTACCATAATTGAAATTGCTATAGAACCAAAAATCTTTGGCTCCATGCCCAAAGGGGAACCCAGTGTGGGGCCTGAACTCACGACCTTGAGATCAAATCCTAAGCTGAGTTCGAGAGTCAGACATTTAACCAACTGAACTACCTAGGTGCCCCAGAACCACAAATCTTAAAACTTTAGTCGAACAGCCATTAATTTCAATTAATAAGCAATATAGCAATATTCTAATGTCCCAGAATACAGTGAAGCCACTATAATTAGGGGCTGTGCTAGGCAACCCCCTCTCCCCAAATCCTACCATACCTTCAAACATCAGACTATATTCAACAAGACACACACCATAAGAGAGACTTTGGAACGTAATCAGATCGAGGAAAAAGCAGACTCATGCCTCCCATGTGCTCATCATCCCAGGGTATGCTCTCATTGAATGAAACTGCCCATGCTGTTTAAGAGTGATTGCTACCACCACCTTACCTTTTTTGGCCAACAACCTATTGTTGAACCTAGATAAATTAAATACATACATAATGGAACGACTCCCTTGGGTCCACTGTGGTTAAGATCTGACCTGTGTTGGCAGCCAGTGTGGGCATTTCCTCTAAGGGTCTTGATCAGCTGTGGAATCCCATTAGAAAGGAAATAGTCTCAGACCCTCGGGAACTCAGTAAGAGTGTTTCCTTGAGACTCTTAGCAGTTCAGTAAACAATGTCAGAGGAGATTTCCTTAGATTCCCATACTTAGGCATTTTCAGAATCTTACTTCCCCACTGAGATCAGAAAGAACGGCACTCACTTGGGTAGATTGCCAGAGAGGATTTTCCAGGCATATTCTCGGAGGTACTTCTGGAAAATGGTGGTCAGGGCGATCATTGGCTCCCCAGTACTGAGCTGGGAGCACTGCACCATGCACTTCTTGTAGTAGACAAAGAGGTCAGCACAGCTGGGGAGCACGGCACCCCCTTCGTCAGTGTTGGGCTTAGGTGGCCCCTGGGCTTTGAAATCGGCCACAAACCGATCAATCAGCTCGCCAAGGTTTCTAGGAGGAAAAAAGTCTATGATGTTATTTCAAGAAACATAAAGCAGGGGCACCTGGGTGGCTCAGTGGTTGGGCCTCTGCCTTCGGCCCAGGTCATGATCCCGGGGTCCTGGGATCGAGCCCCACATCGGGCTCTCTGCTCGGCGGGGAGCCTGCTTCCTCCTCTCTCTCTGCCTGCCTCTCTGCCCACTTGTGATCTCTGTCTGTCAAATAAATAAAATCTTTAAAAAAAAAAAAAAAAAAAAAAAAAAACATAAAGCAAATGTGCTTGCCTGTCATGAGTGAACCATTCCTAATGCTCTTCACATTTAAAGCTGGACCATTTCCATCCCTATCTTCATTAACTACCACCAGCACTCCGACAATAGCAGCAGCAAGAACATTTGGCATTTACATGTGTGCTGCTCTATACTTTTTACAGGCATTTCATGATCACATCTGACCCCAAGCCTCTGTGAGGGAAGCTAAGGTATTAGGGGACCCTCTAAGAGATGAAAACATTAAGGTCTAGAAAGTTTGTCACACAATTTAGTGGCCCAGCTGAGCCTAGAAGCTACCATTTAAATGCCTGCCCTGGTCCTACTACCCTATCAGCACCATCTCCCCTCTCCACAGATGAAAACCCTAAGTAACAATAGTGATCATTTTCTGAACACTTACGATGTCCCGGGCACACACCATGTCAGCACTTTATTTTTATTTCTTTTTTTATTTTTAAAGATTTTATTTATTTATTTGACACACAGAGAGAGAGCATAAGTAGGCAGAGAGGCAGGCAGAGAGAGAGGGGGAAGCAGGCTCCCCGCTGAGCAGAGAGCCTAATGTGGGGCTCGATCCCAGGACCCTGAGATCATGACCTGAGCCAAAGGCAAAGGCATAACCCAATGAGCCACTCAGGCGCCCACGTCAGCACTTTAGAAGCGTCCTCTCACTAACTTTTCACTCACTCTTCCCAGTAACCTTACAAAGTAGATAGTATTCCTGTCCTCATTTTCCAAAAAGCAAGGAGCAGAAAAGTTAAGGACCTTGTCTGGGGTCACAGAGCAAAGGGGTAGGGGACCCGGGATTCAAAACCAAACGACCTGGCTCAAACCTCATGCTTGTAACCACTCTACCTTCCCATCTCCGAAAACACAAAAAGGTTCTGATGTCAGCAAATAGTCTGCTATCGTTAACCTAAATGTGCCCACGGGACGGATACCTGAGCAGGGAGAAACAGTAAAGAAGTATTCTAACATTTTCCTTCTCCTTTAATGTAGTTTTTCTCCTTAAAACTTTGAGAATTGAAGGTGTAAAAAATCTTGGGAGAAGGCAGGGTGTGGCAGCCCCAGGCTTGTTGCAGGTCATGATGGTGACAAATGGTGGCAGCTGTTCCCCCATTCCCCTCTCAAACATCACCGAGTGTGCCTCAGTCATACTGAGTCACCACAGCTCGGGTCCAGCAGGGCTCTCTACTCATTGTTTCCTACACTGTTGAGCTGTACGAAGAATGGGAGGAGTCCCCACCCCTTGACATTTTATGTCTTTTTAGGTTACTGTCTCAGGCTACAGGAATCCAGCTGTGCTTTCAAAATGTATTTATATAACAGGAAGACCAAGACAAGAACCACACACAGCATCAATTAGCAGGAATAGGAGAAAATTTGACATTTTACCCAAGAGCTTTTCCTACTGAAAGTTGATTATACCCAGATGTTGCCACTCGGCCCTCAAAGAACTTCAGGCCTGGGCTGGGTCCTTGTGGTGATGGGTCAGTGAGCAGGGAAGGAACTCGTTAGCCAACCTGGGAAAGCTGCAGGGTCACAGCCCCCTTTCTTCGCCACCTCTGCCCGCCCCACCTTGCCATCTCGCCACCTCTGCCCATCCCACCTGCACAGGGCCCCTCCACTCCAGCCCGACTCACCTTAACTGCCCCCTGCCCCGTCTCTGTTCCTGACTCTGGGCCCTCGCCTGTGATGCCTGGATGCCTCCCCAGGCCAAGATGCTCCCCTTCACCTCTCCACTCATCCGTAGGCTCAGCCCAGATGGCTTCTATTCACGCCAACCCTCTGTCTCAATTTCAACTTCTGTCATCTGTGACACACTCACACTTCATTATTATTATTTTTTTAACACTTTACCCTCCAGCGTAAGGATGTCAAATGTTTCAGAAACATGATGACCTTCTCCCATCCTGGGCCTGTAGAAGGGCTCTCTTTTTCATTGATTTTTGGTGTAATTTCAGAAGCCTTCTTGATACAGCATTCTTGCCTGTCACTGAGGAGCTGAAGCTGGTACATAAGGTTAAAGGGGCTTGCTCTACACTAGAATCTTCTCTGATTCATATGTTATCACATGCTCTCTTGAGAATAGGGATAAGGTTTGTCACTTCTGCTCTCCCCAGGCCTACTCCTCACGCGTATGTGTGAAGCTAATCTAGTTATGTCTGTGCCCAAGACCACCAGCTGAACAGCCCCCACACTGTTTCCGAAGGATGGCAACAGAAGGGTGGGTGTGTGGAGATGGGGCAGGGGCTGGTGCAGTGGAGAACATGCAACAGAAAGCAAAAGGTTGCACTTGAGCCTTCTTAGGAGAGGTTCTAATCGCCAAATCTCTAGTGCCAACAAAAACAGGGGCCAGAGCTCTGAAGCATTTTTACTTTAACCAACTTAGTCCGATTGCCCTACTAGTTGAGGTCAGGATACTTACTCCCCTTGTCTTGTGTTTCAGAGCCAATCCGATCAATCAGATTATAAATTAATCATGCTCATAGAACATAAAGAAAATTTCCACTTAAAAAATCTCTGAAGATCCTCCATATTTTGTAATCTGTCTCCCAGGTTATTTCGGACACTGTTCTCTGTGAGGATGAGATACAAACCCGTCAGAGTAAGCTTCCCTCCCTTACCACTCTACTTTTTGCATCTCCATGCTTCTCTGCCATATGAGACACTGGAAAATGAGTGATCAATGCGTCATAGCACAGATGGTCCAATCCAATTGATTTTCAACTAAGCGCTTCATATGTGCAAGGCTCTGGGTGCCACACATATAAGATATAAATGAGTTCAACTAAAACAACAACAACAACAACAAAGGTTGTCCTTTCTTCCAGGCACCAAACACTAGCCCGAGTTCTGATGAGACCTTCTTGTAAGATTACTGGAGAAAGGAGTGTGTGGCCTATCGAGCTGCTGACTGGTCATGAGGAGGTGTTTTTTAACACCATAAAATAATTACAATCAAGTAAGAGTTTATAAAGGGTCAAGTCCTGATCAAGATGTTTCTGTGTATGGGGGTTAAGATATAGCATCGGCCCATCAGAAGCTTTGGTCTATTTGGGGAGCTAGGACCCTGAGGCTCAGGATATTTAAATTTCAAGACAGCAATAAAATCCTAATTTGGCAGTACAGACGATATGAACAATTTGTTGCAGACGAAGGAAACTAGAGAAAAAATTTCGCAGCAGACTCAGATGAGGGAATAAAGGCCTGGAGTCAGAGGGGAGCACAGAACATGGTGTGTGGAAGGGGGGATGTGAGGAAGAGGGGATGTGGCTAAGGCAGAAGTCATGAACTGGAAAAGTGTGATGTACAGTTTGACTTACACAGTCCTCTGTATTCCCACAGCAAACCACTGGAAGCTTCCTGCCTTCACACCATACACCACAATCAGGGCATTAGAAATACAACGTCCTCACAATGGCCCTGAAGAGAAGGCATTCTTATGTCCATCTTGTAAATGGTGAAACTGAGGCTGAGCAAAGTAATATAGCTTGCCTTAAGTCACAGAACTCGTTGGAGCTGAAACCGGAACTTGCGGACATCAGACTCCAAAGCCCAGCTCTACCTGCTGTACTGTGCTTTGAGTTTACGATACCCACACTACGGTGTGGATGGTATCTTTCACCCCTGCCCCTGCAGCGTGAGCTTTCTGCCCAAGAACTGTAGAAGCATGTTGGGGAGCCATGCGAACTACTGCTGGGGGTCCCATCCTGCTGATCAGTGAAGTGACCCAGGAAGAGAGACGACCGCAGAACAGTTTCCGCAGAGGAACGACCAAGGCGGTTTCTTCTGGTGGGTTTGCAGTCCGCATCCCTAGCAACAATATTCGAACCAGAATGACACAGAGAAAGGAAGACGGCAGTAAGACAAAGCTGGCAAGGAGGTGAGCATGGGCAGTGCCGTTTGGGATCCCCAGGAGCTTACAAAGCTTGTTAATTCAAGGATACTAAAGCTAATTTGCACCCCTTCCTCCCCTGCCCTTGGGTTGGGCTGAGGATTTGGCTCTGGTGTGGCCAGTGGGGGTGGGGAGCCAAGATATGGCTTGAGCACAAATGGGAGATGGATTACACACAGGTAAGTGAAGGAAGTAAGTAAATCCATGGAATATCTAGGGAGCCAAGTTTTTCACTGCTGCAGAGTGTGGTCAGAGATGGAGGAAGGGAAAGGCAAAAATAAACCCTGTTGTGTTGGATCAGAATTCGAGTCAGCATCAAAGGCTTCTGCACAGCAAAGGAAACAGTCAACAAAACCAAAGACAACTGACAGAATGGGAGGAGATATTTGCAAAAGACGTATCAGATAAAGGACTAGTATCCAGAATCTATAAAGAACTTACCACACTCAACACCCAAAGATCAAATAATCCAATGAAGTTAAATGGGCAGAAGACATGAACGGATATTTCTGCAAAGACGACAACCAAATGGCCAAGACACACATGAAAAAGTGCTCCACATCACTTGGCATCAGGGAAATACAAACCAAAACCTCAGTGAGATACCACCTCACACCAGTCAGAATGGCTAAAAGTAACAAGTCAGGAAATGACAGATGCTGGCGAGGATGCAGAGAAAGGGGAACACTCCTGCACTATTGGTGGGAATGCAAGCTGCTGCAGCCACTCTGGAAAACAGCCTGGAGGTTCCTCAAAAAGTTGAAAATAGAGCTACCCCACAACCCAGCAATCGCACTACTGGGTATTTACCCCAAAGATACAAATGTAATGATCCGAAGGGG